GAGTAGTAAGATTAATCGTCACGTTATATCATCCTCACAACTGAAAGGACAAGCATTTCGGTACTGGATTTTTATCCTGCCACGAGTAGACGGCGATTCGAGCGTTCTAATCACCAGAATATGCTAGGCGCAGTTGAAAGGACACAAAATAGGAGGGGGGGATTTAATCACCAAACCTGTTGTGGGTGGCCATATGAAATTGTTTGTTTGAAGTTTGAAATTAAGCACAAAGCTACATAATGGGCTATCTGTGATCTGCCCACCACGGGTATCGAAACCCGGTTTCTAGCGTTGTAAGTCCGCAGACATACCGCTGTGCCACTGGAGGGCGCCATATGAAATTCCTTAAGTAATAGTGTGGTTCAAAATGTAGTATTAGCTTCTATGTTTTAAAACATAAAACGCCCAGTTTAGGATTATTTCTCAAGTAAATAAACTGTGTGAAAAAATGTTCTTGCCTGAAATATCGAGATATAATAATTCTGATTAATTTAGCACGCATGCGCTGGGTTAAATGTTATGAATATTTGCTCTTTCCAGTCGTTCCTTTATTAATTCGTCAAAAGAAGAACACTAAAAAATGAAAATCGACATTCTTGCAGAGCCAAATGAAAGTGTAGACTACTCCATTCAGTTATAATACTGTTACGACTGAGTTTCTCGAATTTTCATGGAAGCTCGATTCCGATCGAGAGACGCCTCTTTTTTAGTATATAAGCCTGACAGGGACAGCCTGCGGAAATGAATGTATGATAAAGCGCACAGTAGTCACGGTAAGTTTCGGGATAAGTTATCGAGATTGTGAATTGCTGTGGTTAATAGCGTGTATTATAAAAGTTGTTAAGTTTAAAGTGACGAGAAACGTACTGACAGTGAAATTTCTGTGTATTAAAAGTTTGTATTGAGAAATAATAAACTGGTTTAATCAAGAAAGGACTTGTATCACTGAAGTTCCTCGGAAAGAAATTCTACCGGAAATTAACAAACAAGCAGATACGCAACAACTTAGTGTCAGAGAGTGGGATGGAAAAAGAAAAAAAAAGATGGAAACGAGAAGTGGCAAATCAAACTTCGACTTAGCAGATTTGATGGCAGCAATACAAGAACAGCAAAAGAAACAAGTAGAACGAGAAAATAAGCAAGAAAAGAGACTACAGAAGTGGTTGGAGGAGAAAGAAAATAAACAAGAAGAGAGACTACAGCA